AAACACAGGTGTATGATTTTACTATGACTTTTGCTTACATGTATTTCTAACTATTTTATTTCAAAGGGAGGTGGTAAAGGCTGGCTTGGGTGTTTCTTTTGCTTTTCATTAGGTATATATTCAGATAGAAAATGTTGAAAAGGGCTGTAAATTGCCTATCCCAGGTGTTACTTTCCTGCTTTCTTATCAGCAGTCAGAATCAGCTGCTGAACATCGTGTTGGTCAGGTTGAAGTGCTCTGTGGGAGAAAGTCTTGCCATGGAGTTTGAGGAAGAAATAAAAAATATATTTATTTTTTGCTTTTTGAATGTCAGCATTACATATTCAGGCATATGCAAGCCTAATGGTCTGCTTGTCTGTATCATTTTCTCCTGGAAAGACAGCTTAACAGTTTTCCTGGTGGGATCGTGTTAAAATCTTTAAAGGCTACATTCACTAAAACATATGTCTAATGTTTGGGCAGCCAAAATCTGTGTAGTCATTTTAACGGCGTGTAACTTCGCAATTTGCTCTTACCACAGGTATCTTATTGTCAAATCTACATTAAAATATCCTCAGTTTGGAGTCTATTATTTCATGTTTAAATTGTTGCAGGATGTGCTGAAGTATACTTTTGCCCTATCTCAAAATGGAGCTTGCTCAGAAAGCAATAAATAGCTTCAGTGGGACATATTTAATATAATGAAATTATTTTATAATAGGCTTTTATCTAATTAACTTTTCTTGAGTGTCTACCATTTTCTGAGCATTGTACTAGATATCCTGCATAGATAATGCAAAGTGATAGCCACTTGTGATGATGTCTGGATAGAAGACGGACAATGGGAAAAAGTCACAGAGTGGCCAGACGGGGCACAAGGTGTTGTCAGCGTCCCATAGGAACAGGGGCGTCTTGATGAGTGCTGTTGGCCAAGTTGCCCTGTGTTCCTTATTGAAACTTTGATAGGGGAGGGGATGGCTAACTGAAATAGGGAGAAAGTGAGAAAGTGAGACTCCACAAGAGAAATCCAGGGCCGACCAGTGCTGACTGACTTAGCAGCCACAGTCTGTTTCACTCCTAGCCTTCCAGAATTGCTTTTAAAGTTTTCTTGACAAATCTTCTGGAGCCGTGGTAGGAAACAAAGCCCTTTTGTTTCACGGTAGGGGATACAGAGAACAGTTATTCACGGTCCTTGTCTTTAATTGGCTTAGCTTTCCCTGGTGCCATTTGTTTGCCTCTAACTCGGCTGGTGCTTCATCTGCCTGAGGCCAGGATCCTGGAGCAGGTCTTAGTGGCAAAAAGTTGAAGAAGCAGATACTGGAAAAGCCAGGCTTATGTGATCTTTCCTGGCTCTGATAGGTTCAGCTTTTTATATTGAAAAGTTGTTTAAGCCCTTAAAAAAATTTTTTTTCCTCAAGTGTTAAGTAAAATAGGTTTATCTCGGAAGAAAACTTGAAACAAAAATTTCTTCTAAAGAAAATGAATTTCAAAGTATTATTAGTATTTATATCTTTAGTTATTTTAAAAAGGTTAACGGCCATCCTCGCTAAAAGGCACCGTGTGAACTTTTACTAAATACCTCAAAATTCTAAATTCGGCTAGCAACATAACCAGGCAGTTGTGTATCATTTTGCCTAAATGTGTGAAAATTAAATGCCTGTTGAAGTTGACCAGAAACATGTAATTTAATCAGAGTTTCTAATTGAATCACAAAGAATAGAGTAAAACTGTCTCTAATTTTCTAGATTTGTGATGATCTCATTGTCATAATATTAACAAAGTGTTAATAATTTCTAAAGGAGTATAGAGAAGAACCAATCTTCAGAAATTCTACTAAGTTAAAATTGTGAATGATAAAAAAGCACATACCAAGTTAAATTTAATTATATCTTACAAAATTATTGAACTATATTTATAGACTCAATCATTAATGATATGTGCTAATTCTTTGATGATATGACTTGGAAAATATCACTGTCACTTCTTAATTTTAGCATTCTTCAGAATTTTGTTGTAATTTTATTTTACACATTTTAATACTTTTCAGATATCAGAGTTGACTTTAAGAAGCAAAAGTGAACTTAGATGCTTTCCAAATTAAATTCAGTAATCAGTCTGAAATGCTTAGCTCCCAGCCTAGCACATAGCAATTTATGGGATAATCAGTTGATGATGATCATTATCTCTGACTCTTCTCTTCTTGCCACACTGTCTCTCACTGGTTTTTATGTCATAATAATTTCGCAGTGTTATTACTTTTTCATCGTATCTACCCTTTAGTCCTTGGTGTTTTAGAAATTTCTGGAATTTCTTCTGTAACTGTCAGCCGAACTCCTGATCCAAGAACACACAGGTACACAATACATGTACAGAGGTGTTGAAGAGCATCATGTTCTCTGATGCTAAGAGCTTACTGACCATGTTGTCTAGAATCCAGCAGTTTAAGGGCCAGGAGGTGAGCTGGCCGTCATCCTGCCGTGGAGCACAGTCTACAGAGACTGGCAGAGAAGGCTGACTCCCTGTGTTCTTAGTGTGCCTATTTGCTGCAGGAGCTTGGGACCTTAGGCTTCTCTTGTTTCGGAAGCTATTCCTAAAGTATCATTAAAACAAACAAACAAAAACCTTTTTTGGTTTTTTAAGGAGATTATAACTACAACACAGTGTGTACTTGTTACTTTCAGCCATAATTCAAGGGCTCTGCTTTTACTTAATAATGACTTACTGGGAGTACTTGCAATAATATAAAAATACTTCTTACATAGTCTTTTTCCCAACAGTTCCTTCACTGTCCGTCTTTAGGAGAAACAAGTTTTGGTAGTTTGGAATGAATTCCTCCAGACTATTCACACATGTTGGCTCTGGACTACATCTATGTATATTGGTGTCCCCATGGCTGTCGTGGGTTGGGTTTTTTGTTTTGTTTTGTTTGTTTTTGTTTTTGTAAAAATGAGATTATGTTGTTCTGCAGTTTGCTCATTTTATCAGTTCATTTACCATAGGCATCTTTCCTTGTCCTCAGTCTTTTTTATGGCTGCATAATAATGCAACTGTATTGCTGTTCTTGGTTTATCTAGCCTTTCTTCTGCTGAAGGACACTCAGGAGGTCTCTGGATTTCATCATGTTGCACGAACTCCAGGGGTTGGAAGCTTTTGTCCTGGCTGCGTCTCTGCTTTGTTTCCCTACTATATTCTGCAGGCTATAGGAAGCCAGGCTCTCCCCCTTTGTTGCTTATTGGCCTTCAGGGATCATTCTGAAGGTTGTCATTCGATCTCGGATAGGACTCAGCTCAAATAAAAAATACCAGTTCTGTTGTGTGGAGGTTTAAGGTAACAGTAGCATTTTTATAGAAGTTTCTCATTTCTACCTCCCCGGGATTTAAGATGCATCCTCTAACTGGGATGGATTTTTAGCTACGTCATCCTTGGACACTTATACATTGGCAGACTTTTGGGCTTCAGAGTGTTAAGAAAGGTTTAGTTGTCAAATCTGTTTTTTTTAACTGGAAGTCCTTTAGGTCAGGACTTCTTTTAGAGAGTCCTTTGAGAACGCATTTGGTTTTTTTTTTTTTCCGTGATTGTGGACTATTCTTGTCTCTGTATATTTCTAACCAGGTGCATTAAAACTTAACTTGTGATTTTCGTAAATGGCATAATTCATCACAGTCTTAAAATCCAAGTACCAGTATAGCAAGGTTCGCATTTCACTGGGGGGTGGGGATGGTATTCATTAAGGTGTTCATAAAATTTTATGTTCTTAAGTCACTGTATATTCAGTAGATATAACTTATTTTTATCATGGCTACTGGCCATAATTGGAGTTTAACATCTGCTCCTTTTAAGATCTTAAACTCTAGTTGCTTAGAATGAAGGCAGTCTTTTAATTTATATGCATATATTTGCTTGGAAGATCTTCTATTCACAAAATATTAATGTATAATTTAAGAAAGGTGATATCAAGTTACTAGACATGTAGCAGAGACATTACCCCAGCTCTTTGGTAACATGTTAATTATTCAACATACCTGAAGCAGTAATTTGCTGTTGATTTTAATATTTTTTGCCTTCCAACACAGCTGGCATCCTGCTATGATATCATAAGCTATTCTTTTTGATTTATTATTGTACGGAGTATATCATGCTGGGTGAACAACCACACTGAGCCAGTATGGAGGGTACATCTTTTTGTTTGTGACATTTTCTATGTGAAAATGGAGTTGTGGTGGTTAACCAGTTTTTAATGCACACGAACAAAAACGGCTGTAACCCTTGTACTTTTGCAGTGCTTTCCTCCTGCTAGGTTTCCTTGAAGATCTAGAAGCTTGAACTTTTCCTGCATTACAGCTCTAACATGCTATTCTCATGTGCTCCTTCTCCACAAAACAATATTTCCCAAGGCTGTTTGTTTATATGCAAATACACCCAAAAGTGAACCCCAAAAACACTTTCATTCTTAAGGTAATATGAAGAAAAAATGATTTTGAGATTAAAAATGTGAAATACAGTAATTTAGTTTGTAACACAGAAGTATTTTATAATGAAGTATTTTAGGGGCGCCTGGGTGGCTCAGTGGGTTAAAGCCTCTGCCTTCGGCTCAGGTCATGATCCCAGGGTCCTGGGATCGAGCCCCACATCGGGCTCTTTTCTCCGCGGAGAGCCTGCTTCCTCCTCTCTCTCTGCCTGCCTCTCTGCCTACTTGTGATCTCTGTCTGTCAAATAAATAAATAAAATCTTTAAAAAAAAAATGAAGTATTTTATAATGGAATGCCTTTTAATGACAGAATGACAAATCCCATTTTTCTTTTGTAGTAGGGTTATAAACTATATTGGAAAATTTTGTAACAGTGCAAATATCAAGTAACTATGCAGTGAGAGTTACAACTTATTTGACATAAAACTGTATTACTAACTTTTAATTATTTATTAGATTGAAATACTTTGTTTTTATTCCTTAATCAAAACTGCCATCATATACTTGAAAATATGTATTCTCTTCAACATCAGATTTTCCTTTCCTCTTTCAGTCTGTGATCAAAACAGGGCGACTGCTAATCAGTCATGAGGCTCCCTTGACAGGCGGCTTTGCATCAGAGATCAGCTCTACGGTTCAGGTAGAGTAACTTTTTGGCACTGGTTTTAACATTTGTGCAGTTGCACTTGTCTATTCCAAGGAAAAAGGTTACTTATCACAATATATAAAAGTGTGCACTTTCTGGAAATGCACGTTTTCCATTCGACTTCACTGTCCTTCGGTTAATGGTCTAATTACATCTTCTAGAAAAGAAATCTTGAAGTAATAAAAGCTGAAAATTCCTTTATAGGAAGAAGAAAGTTTAAAATGAGTTTACAAAACTAATGTTAGTTATATTTGCTAGAAGAACAGGAAATGAAAACTTTTAAATCTGAATATGCTGTTTCTCTTTTGATAAAAGTTAAACTTATTATGCAATATGTTGATCTTAGATTTTCACAGACTTCCCCTTAAAAAAGAAATGCATCTGTCAAAAGTTAACAATATAAATTCAATAAATAATATCAAAATCAGTAAGTGATTTTGTTAGTTTAATTAATAATCAAATTATGTTATGCTTTAGAAATGGTTCACAACTTTCTTTTAAAAAGTATTCAGTAGAAACTGCTGCAAGTTAGGGAAAAAAAAATCCCACATAATGCTTTATGAAGAATTTTTTTTTAAACTTTTGTTTGCATTTATATCACAGATAGGAATAAGATGATTTAAATGAGTTTCATTTTCCTAATTTTTTAAATTAAAAATTCAATAACTATTTTAAATGTAAAATATGTACATTTTAAATTCAGAATATCTTTGCAGTTTGCAAACATTTTACTTCTCTTTACTGGTGTTAAGATCATTCTTTTGTTAAGAAACATGTTAAGTTGAGAACTCCTTCAAGAGTGAATAGTTTAAAAATTTGATATAAGATTGTGATATATGAATAATGATAAGTTTTTATAAGTTAAACTTTTTAACCATTAAACAATGATTTCTACCAATAAATTATCTCTTTAAGTGCAGATTGACAACACTGTAAATATTTTAAAATTAGATGAAGCAGATTTAAACATAAAACTAGATCTATATAATCCAAAAATTATACTGTTATTTTATACATTATTTATATTGTCACTAACAAAATTAAGAAAAGCAAATATTTGAGTTTTACAGATTTTTAAAAAATCTATTATATAAATTAAATTCTGGATCATACTACTTATTATGTAATATGAATGTCTGGTATTTATTGTGCATTTTATTCATTGAGTAGCATAATGGATTAACTTTGTTAAAAAAAAAGGGGGGAGCGTCACAAACAAATCACTCTAACACCGAGATGCTATTTCAAGTCAGAGGCAAAACTGGAAAAAGAAACTGGAATTGTCTGACTCCTAGTTAGTATATAATGCACTAAATCATTTAAAATGATAGTGACTTGGTAAGAGAACTTTGATCTGATACCCTTATTCATTCTGCTCACTGAATGCTGTTTTGTTATCTCAAAAATTTCATTTGCATTTAAATGTAAAAAGAAAAGAAGTAAACACAGAATTAGAAATAACTCCTCTTATGAAGTACTCTTTATCTAAGTGTGCTTATGCTGGATCTCCATAAATTATTAGTAAGCTGCGGTACAGTGTAACATTTTTTCAGACTGGAAAAGAATTAGAAATCATCTAATTTAGTGTCTGTTGGTCTTGAATAGTACTTGGACATGGGTTAACAGAAAAATATCAGGCTTCAAGAATACATTTGTGAATTTCAGTTTGAGGAACAACCTATTAGAGTTAAACACAGTCATTACAAAAGACTCACACGAACAAGATCATAATCACTGTGTTAAAATCAGATCCTGAAATTATGTGATAATGATCGGGGGTAAAAGTTGTGAACGAGATTATCCGAAATATAATTATATTTATAGCATAACATGAACACACCTTGTAACCCTCTCTGACTCCCAAGAATCTGCCCATAGGTGTCTGCAGATGTCAGCCTGGGAAATCGTGACCTAATCTGACCTGATTCCTTTCACACATTAGTGGTGGTTGTCCAGGGTGTGTTTTTGACTCACCCAGTTTAAGAGGAGAGTGGAAGATCTGGAACTAGGACAGGAGTCTTAAGGAAATATTGAGTTTGTGCATATGCATTCTTTATTCAAAGTTCCCCTGAGCCCCAAGAGGAAGATAGAAGTTCTAAATTTATTATAAAATGTTCTGTGTTCCATGTTAAAAATAATTTAACCAGCTAACTATAAAATGAATTAAGGCAATAATGTAGAGGGATCTGCGTTTGATGTTTTGGGGGATTAGTATTTGGATTTATTAGTATGAGGATGAATTTGAAAATACTTTCTGCTTAAGTCAAGTAGAGAAAATGGATTTTAATAAAATCAACACAGTATCCCCAGATGTTTGATACTTGTGGCTTTCATGTATTGATAAGGGGCAGGGGGAGATACCTTGAGAGACTTTTTTTCCCTTTTTCAGTAATAACATTTGCACATACTCAGAGTGATCTGAAGAATAAATCCTGCCTTTCATTAATTATTTCATGCACATGTTCAACTAAATGCAGTGTCCTATATTGATCATCTTTTTAATGGAAGGCCTCATTCCCTGTTAGTGCAACCTCTGTTGTATTACCAGCACCCTTGGATTGTTTAAACTGAAATTACTTAAGTGTGAGGTGCAGTTGCTTTCACAACTTGGAATGATTCATATTCCTATATTTCTTCTTGTTGTATAAACTATGGTGTAAGGTCTGAAAAAAAGATAAAACGGGATTAAGATATTGAAAGCCAGTTTTCTGGGACACCAGGGAAAAGGTACTCAGAGAACTTACCATTGTTTGGAAAACAAGTTTGAAATTATGGATGAGAGTGGTCTATAAATTGATTAAAATACTGAATTATTCTCACTGTTGTATCAGTGAATGTAAATTTTATGTAAAAATCAACACATACCCAGAAATCTGTTCCAGAAGCACTATTTTGTGGAAGATCTCTGGTAGTTCTTCAGGGGATCATGTTTAATCTTACAAAAAATAGCTCTTAATATCACAGTATTTTAAGAGAATGGTGATTCACAATAAAACTACTGTTTTTAAATACATTAGAATCTGAGAGCACCATTTTCAGTGTCCCCGAAATTTTAAATTATTACCCATATTAAACATAAAATTTTGAAGATAATAAAGCACTATACAGAGTATTCTTTTAAGTTTATAGTTAGTATTTTTAGATAGAAAAGTGATATCATGCTAAAAAAGATTGAATATCAGCAAAACATTTTTCTCCTAGGTGTAGGAAGTATTGCTGGCATTACTATTAAGTTGGTTTTTTTTTTTAGTTGTACAGATAAAATATGAAAAGAATGAATATGAAATGTATTCATACTTTATTTACATAACTTCTCAATTTATGTCAGATGGCTCTTCCATCATACAGGGAATTTATTTTCCACATCTTGTTTGTTCATGTCCATTGTCTCTTTTCCTAAAACCATTTATTTTATTAAAAAAATACGGTTAACAGTCTTAGTTTAAAGTCATGTTAAACTCACAGGAATGATTAAACATAACATTTTAAAAAATGGATTGTCAATAACTTCTTCATGAAATTTATATGAATGCTTATAGAAACCAAAACCAATGCATCGAATCTAAGAACTGCTTTGCATTCCTATTGTACTGAATTTGGAAGTTAACTGAGAGGCAGAACAAACCAAGGTCTAGTATATTTGGCCCCCCACCCCTGGGGAAGATTTCTTGGTCGGTCATCCAAAGCTTCACTGTCTCTTCTCATCTAATTTTACATTCCCATCTGTTCTCACTTTGGGGGTGAGGGAACTTTTTCCTTCTTTCATTTGACATACACTGAAAGTTGGAGATATGTTGCTTTTAGGGAGTTGTGCATTCCATCGTGCACCCTGATTTGTAGAAAAGTGCAAAGACACAGAGCTTGGGTAATTCATTGTGTAGTTTGAGCAAAGATTTCATTGCTTCAGAAAATTTTATAATTTACTTATAGATGTTTATATTCCTCAGCTTTATGTAACACAGGTTAAAAACAATCATTACTGTGCAAAAAGAAATGTGTGAACCTCATCCATTTTGATAGTCCTCTCATTAATTTATATTATATGCGCTAGAATGCAATGTTCAAAATAGGCATTATTTATTTGAATATTAAGGCCAAATAATGTATGGTATTTAGCAGCTTTAAATAGTATAATTTCTTTAAGCCTTGGAGAAACCAACCTTTATTATTAATTTCAAACACAGTCCCATAATGATGAAATAAATCTTGACTCTGATAGGCTTGTGATAAAAAAAAAGTTCTGAGTTTTTTTTTTTTCCCTTCTGGAGTCAATGCTTAATAAGAACGCCAAAAATTTTAGGGATTGGGGTTGACTTAAAGGTTTTATTTATTTATTTTTTTAACACATGGAAGCAATAAGTCTGCAATAAAGAGTCCAATTGGAGAGGATGGTAAGTTTCCATACCATTGTTCCATCCTTTCTGTGCGGTCTCTTTTCCTAGAAAAAGAACTCAGAAATTGTGTGTACTGACATATATTTTTAAGGTAATCATACTTTAATACTTTGAGAGGATTTTTATAGGGTTTACACAAATCATTGTGTAAACGGAAACTTTCATAATTTTCAAGTAAAGGAATTTTGCTTTTCTTACCATTTCATTTAGAAAGGATTCTACGGGAGGATTTTTTAAAAAATAAACTTCTTATTCCTACCAAATTTACTAACACTGCTTGAAAACATCAATCTGAAGGAGTGGGAGAACTCCTACATGTCTTGAGTTTTTATCATTGTGGAAAATGTTTAATTAAAATTATGACGTTGTAAAGTAAGAATCATCAGAGAAAGCTATCAGAGTAGTAATTTAATGAATAGTTTACTGCAATTTTAGAGTCTTATTTAAAAAAAAAAATTTTTTTTTTTTTAAACCAACAATGCAAGGCATTTGCCAACAACAACAGATGTAACAATCAGGGAAGTGTACTTCTATACCAAAATCTATTTACATGGAGCCAGAACTTTAAAAAACAGTTTAACACAGAGTGATCAAATAGAA